TTGGCCTCCACAGACTCTCCAGCAGAAAGTTCCACAGACTCACCACTGTCTGGTTGAATAAATTCCTCCTCATCTCAATTCTACAGAGTCGTCCCTTGACTCTGAGGCTATCCCCTCGGATCCTAGTCTCTCCTCCTAGTGGAAACAACCTCTCCACGTCCACTCTATCCAGGCCTTTCAGTATCCTGAAAGTTTCAATCAGACCCAAACCCCTCACCCCATCCTTCTAAACTCCATTGAGTGTCGACTCAGAGTCTTCAACTGCTTCTCATATGCCGTGCCCTTCATCCCCAGGATCATTCTTATAAACCTCCTCAGGACCCTCTCCAACACCTGCACACCCTTCCTTAGATATGTGTCCCAAACTGCGCACAATATTCAAAATGCAATCTGACCAGAGCCTTATGCAACCTCAGCAGTACATCTCTGCTGTTGTATTCTAGCCGTCTTGAAATGAATGCTAATATTGTGTTTGCCTTCCTAACTGCCAACTGTACCTGCACGTTAACCTTAATAAAATCCTGAACCAGGACCCCCAAGTCTCTTTGTGCTTCAGATTTCCAAAGCAGTTTTAAAAATAGTATATGCCCGTATTCTTCCTACTAAAGTGCATTACCTCACGTTTTGCCACGTTGTATTCCATCTGCCTCTTCTTTTCCCACTCTCCAAGCCTGCCCAAGTCCTATGCAGCCCCACTGTTTCCTCAACACTACCTGCCCCATCACCTATCTTTCTGTAATCTACAAATTTAGCAACAATACCCTCATTTCCCTTGTCCAGATTGTTAATGTATAATGTGAATAGTTGTGGTCCTAACATTGACCCCAGTTGAACTTCACTAGTCATCAGCTGCCCATCCTGAAAAACACTTTATCCTTTATCCCTACTGTCTGCATTCTGCCAGTCAACAACCTTCTATCCATGCCAGTATCTCTCCCCTAACAACTTTCCTTATTTATTGTTCTTGAGGTACCTGTCTCCAGTGCATTTCATGAGAGCAACTCCAATTTTATATGTTCGGTTTGACCTCATTGGCATCCCAAATTTCCCATGCTGTGGAATTCCTTCCGAATATCTGTCCGTTCATAAGATGATTCTGAAAGCCAACCTTCTTGACCGTACTTTAGTTTGCACCTTTTTTCCTTTTGCCTTATGTTTATGAAGAAATGGATGTTTTTATGTATTAAAAGCAATATGTAAATGCAGTTCATTTCACAGGGGTACTCGATTTACAAACGTCTGACTTATGAGCACTAGCAGCAGAAATGAAATAATATCGAGAATAACCTAGAAGTAGTCTTCTCACCTGCTCTTTCTACTGAGAATATGTTGATAGAGAACAATAAAGAGAAAGTGATGTCTTTGTTTAAGAACTGCCTGTATGAAATACAACTCGCCTATGTCGTACAGAGTCTGATGAGTCACTGCTGTCAACGAAATATAATCAGGGAGTAGCTGGTTGTGCCCATTTAACTTGTTGCAATCAAAGACATCAGCGTACTACTCTTGCACTTTAAATAGTAGTGTAGTGCACTAAAATAAATTGCTGAAATCTACACAATGAAAGAAATTTATTCAAATACACTGACTTGAAATGTTGGATGGCTGAAGTAATATCATATCCATCACACTATTTAAGTAATCTTTTCATCATATAATAATCAAGCCCAAAAGGGGGCCACTTTGCCCATCTGGCATATGCTGGAACTGATTTTTTTTCCATCATGTATTTATCTAAGTTCTTTTTTTCAAGATATTAGCCTGGATTTGGTAGTTGGTGGCTAACTAGTAGCAATTAGTATTGATCTAGAGGGAAAACTTGCCACCCTTGCAATATGAACGTTAATTTTATTTTGGCACCAATTATTAAGCATCTCTAGCATTTGGTAACAGTGTTGTTATCAAGCAAACAGCACACAACCTCTTGAGGAATTATATCAAACCGCAAGGTAAGAAGTAACAAGCAGGATTTATCATTTTTTTTATATAGCTTTACAGAAAATGAAATAAAGATTGGGACATATACATGGGATTAAGGTAGAGGCAATGTATTCTTTGCAGTTTATCACTTGAAAAATCTATGGAATTTCTTTGGTCATGTGATGGCAAAATTCAGCATTACATAAATACCATGAGCTTTTTTTGGACTGACTTTAGAATGCTAAAACAAAAAAATTTCATTTCATTCAAGAAGATGTAAATGTTTAATGGGTTTTTACACTGAGCAGTATTGCATACAGTGCTTTTTAATTAGCTTCCATTAGTGAGGATTTCAGCATTGTGTCCTGTTGAAATCACTGACAGCAACATGAGATTTCTCTGTGTAACTCTGCATTTGGATGTCAAAAGTTGCTATTAGTTCTACAGAGTTATTATAGTGAAAGGTGAATATTATACTGTCACTACAAATGCAAAGTCCAGGACCCAACTAAATCTGCTACCACTTTCCTTCCAGGCGTGCATTTCACATCATCCCTTGCTTTGTCAATTTTGTGTTCCCATTTTGTAGCTAATTCATTACCTTACATCTGTTGTTTTACCAACTCTACTGCTATATTTCTCATTTTTTCTCTATGAAGGAAGACTTACCATCATATTTGCGCTATCAGTTCTCCCTTAGGCTTTTCTGTTTAAAGAAGGGCAGCACAATTTCTCTTGTCTGACCATGTAACTGAAGTCATCCCTGATACCACCCTAATGAGCTTTCTCTGTATTCTCTCTGAGATCTAGATATTGTTCTTAAACTGTGATATTCAGAGTTGGACCTAGCAGTCCAGCTGGGTCTTAAATGATACTTTGTAATACTGTACGCATTTTACCCTCTCTTTATAAAGCCAAGTATAGATTGTTAACAGCTTTCTCAACTTGTTCCTGCATATTGTACCATTTAGTTTACATTGCCTCTTCTCATTTTTCCCACAATATGAATGACATTTAGGTGAGTTTAACACATGTAAGATATGATTATAGACCATGCGACACTGGTCTTTATTTCAGAAACATTATGAATAATCACTGCATCAAACATGTAATTACACTTCTAATCATTACTTTTGAATTTATTCCATTAAGTTGCACTAATGAAGTAGTCATAGCTTTCATTTTCATTGCGTCTTTTTAATGCTATAATTGAAGTTGCCAAGGACTGCATGCAAGCTTCTGTTGCTGAGTGATACTTTGACTAATTCTAAATGCTGAACCATTTATTTACTTTTCCCTTTGGGTAACAACTGTTGCAATAAATGGTATTAGTGGCCACTCCAGACAGGCTTTGTCTTGTAACATTATCCTTTCAGTTTACTTTTATTTTTTTCTTCTTTCTACGGAGGAGAAGTTAATAAAATGTAGGCAAGGAAGGAAAGCCAGTCATAAAATAAAACCTTTTCAGGCCACCAGATTTTTTTTAAAGAATCTTCCTTTAAAATATGATTTTACAAAGCTGAAATATAATGTGGACTAATACTATAGTGCATCTGAACATTCTTACAGTCCTTTTTTTGGAAACAAATGTTGATAATGAATAATGTTTGTGTTTCATGCAGCCCTCCCCATTCAGAAGGAAAGGCTGTTTCTGGGACCTTGCCTCCAGTCAAGTCCAAGGCAAACTTTATTGAAGCAGACAAATATTTTCTCCCTTTCGAGTTGGCATGTCAGTCGAAATGTCCCCGCATAGTCAGCACATCTCTTGACTGTTTACAGGTTTGTATTGCTGTACTCGGGTGTGAAGTGTAAACAAGTTGTTTGGTTGTAAAGAAGCTGTAAATAATGGCTCGCAAAATGAAGTTTTTTATTTGCAAATTATATTGCAACATTTGAAGCAGTGTAGCTATCTTTCATTATTACCTATTAGAAATCACTGACGAGCCACAAGTGCTAATTTTAGTAGAAAGTGCCATTTTCAGGTATTATGTATGTTTATGAACAAATAATTAGCACTAAGTCTTTGTCTCTTTCTCTGAACCATTGTGTAGAAATTTAGTGTGAAATGGTCTCTCTCAGCACATTTTAATGCATCTTGGGTTTTTGTCCAGGAGATGCATGTAGTATTTGGACCTCATTGGCGTGATCATGCAGAATGTTGACTTGCATAAGATGTGTCAGTCCTGCACTTGTATCCCATCAAGATCATGGTTGTATGCTGTTTGCAATTTACCAATCCATGGCCTACTGGAGTTGCTTGTAGTTGGGGTATTTAATTACCCTAGTCAACTGAAATCCCTCAAAATGTGCGTCCTATAGTACAGAAGGAGGCAACTCAACAATACTGTGTGCTGCCTCTTTGAAAAAGCTAATCCCATTTCCCCATCTTTTTCCAGAATCCAGATTTTTATTTTCCCAAGCACATATCCAGTTTCCTTTTCTAAGTTAGTATTACATCTGCTTTCAACATCTTTTGACATATTCCAGATCATAACTAGCCACGTGAAATTAACTCTCATTTCTGCTGTGGTACTTTGCTAATTTATCTTAAAACAGTGTCCTCAGTAGCAACATGTGCTGAACATAGTGACATTGTTACCAATGAAACCTTTCAAAATCTTTAAGTTTTTAAAACATCTATTTAACCTTCTTTTAATTGCCTCTGCCTTAAAGAAAAGAATCCCAGTTTCTGTAATCTCTTCACAAAGCAGAAATTCTACATCCCTGGTACTGTTATAGTAAACATCCTCTGCATGTTTTTCAAAACCTTGATATCCTTCCTAAAATATGGTGGGTAGAATTGCACACAGTGCTCCCAGCTGAGGGGTAGCCAGTTTCATGCAACATGGAACTCGTATTTGCTGGGCTGAATATATATGCGTGTTGTATTATATGTTTTCAGTTGTAAACTTAGGATAACAATATGAAAAGAGAGGATACTTATAAAGAAAAATTGGCACTTCTGTGCGCTACCATATTCCCTGGCCAATATCTCTGTCTCAGGCTTGCTGTAGTGAAGCTCAGTGCAAGCTGGAAGAACAGCATCTCATTTTCCATTTGGGGATCTTTTATCTTATCTATCTATTTGTTGCTCTTGCTTTCCGCTCTCTCGCCTGCTCTTGGCTCCGTCACCACCCATCATCTACTCCCTAACCTTCCGCTCTCCCACCCTGCCAGCCTTTTATGGCTACAATCAGTTTTGAAGAAGGGTTACTGGACCCAAAATGTTAACTCTGCTTTCTCTCCATGGATGCTGCCAGATCTGCTGAGTTTCTCCAGCAATTTCTGTTTTTGCTTAAAAGACTGGCACTATAAGGTGTTGCCAGAATCTCTCAAGATGAAAGGGGTGAGGGTGGTAATTGTGGAGGGTCCCCACCATCATTTTAAATTTGGGACTGTTGCCAGAGGACTGCTCTATTTAACAGAAACAGAAAAGTTTGTCAATTACAACCTAACGTCAGTGGATGGAGAAAGCTTCATAAATAAAAACAATCCAGGAAATATGTAGTTCGAAAATCAAAGTCAGCACAAATTTTCTGAAGGCAACTTGTGTCTGACAAACTTGGTTGGGTGTGTTGATGAGATAATGGAGAGGATTGATGAATGTAATTTGGTTGATGTGTACAGGGACTTTCGAAAGGTGTTTACCAAAATAGCCCACTGTTGAGGTATAAACAAAATTGAAACTCGTGGACTTGTGGACTTGTTGGGCTGAAGGGCCTGTTTCCACATTGTAGGGATTCTGTGATTCTATGAAGGGACAGTGGCTGTATGGATAGAAAGCAGTGCAATAAATGAGGAGTACTGCTATTTTTGAAATATTAATGACCTAGACGTGGGAGATACTGCATAGCATTAGATATTGTTGATTAAACCAAGAAATTTAAGGAAGCTATGAGTAGACCTTAGAAGGGAATATATAGGTTGTTGAAATGGGGGAGACCCAACAAATGTAAACTATCAGGGCAAAGTCTAAAGTGTTTCATCTCCATAGGAACAATAAGGAGAGAGGCAGTATGGAATGAGCAATAGAACACTGAAGTGGGTACAAAGACACACATCTGTGAGTGTAAAATTCTTACAGTTGCAGGACAAATTTAGAAATATTGTTTTTAAAAAGCACAAATGGGATCATTGACTTTATTAATTAGTCTATATTGTACAGAATCAAGTCTATTTTGTTAAATATTTCTCAACGACAGTTTTGGCCTTGGCTGGAATGTTGTTTAATTTTGGACACCATATTACTGGAAAGATGTCAAGGCCTGAGAGAGGATGTGTAAGAGAGAATAGAAACAAAAGCAAAATTCTGCAGATACTGGAAATTTGCAATTAAAACAAAGTGTTGAAATTAGCAGCAAAAGAGGTTCAGATGTACTAAGGTAATAAATTTAGGACCTTTGACACTATGGCATGATATCAGGACAATTTCTTAAGTATCCTTAACAAATCAAGGCAATTAGTGTCCTAGTTCAGATTACTCTTCCCATTAATTGTAGTGGCAACAGACAGCTTGCAACACTTTCATGTTCTTTCTTTATCTCCCGTTTTTGTGGCTGTCAGTGCCTACATTAGGTCATCAGTCATCGTCATGACCCATGTTATGACACAAACGCAGTATCATTGATCTCTCAGCCAACCATCCATGTATGTAGTTTGGATAAATTTGAGCCATGTGAGCAATACTTCCTCACAGATGTAAATTAACCATTAATCTGCCAGGAGCTCATACAAAATAGGCAAAAAAAAAAGAAATTTGTAACACATGCAAATTGTGGAAAAGGTTTAAAAAAAGTACAATAAGGTTCACATTACCCCACAGCATGTTGGCAGCATCAGTCAAAAGGGAAACTGTTAATGCTTCAGGTTGATGACTTGCGAGAGATATGGTTCCTTTTGATAAGGCAATTGACCTGAAATATTTGCTCGGTTTCTCTTGCTGCATATGCTACCAGACCTCCTGAGTGTTTTCAACATTTAACGTTTCTACTTAATAGATAGTACTTGAGACAAGCAACATCAGTTTTACAAATATACTAGAGAACTTGGGTGTTTCCTTTGTGAAGTAAAAGATATTAATAGGTGATGTGGTCAGGGTTTTGAAAATGATGAAAGCTTTCCAAAGCATGAATAAATAGGAGCTGGATCCAGTGGAAAAATGGTTGCTGACAAAAGAACTCAATTAAGGTGAATATCAAGAGAGCTTATTATTCAATCTCCATTGAGACCAATAACCTTTAAAGCTGTGGTCTCCCAATATTTTTAAGCACAAGATCACTTTTTCAGTTTAAATACAACCTGGCATCTACCCTGAAAGAAAATATAAAAGTGAGTTTATTTTTAGTACTATTATTATTACTTCCCATTAGGAGGTACTGAGTCTCCTAGCTGGACCATTTACCTATTACTTTGTCTGCCCAAAGCTGTTATCTCTCTCTTTCACTGAGTTCCATCTCTACATATCGGCTACTCTCCCAACCCCAGCCCCCGCAACTTCAACATATATATCAACCTTTTCCTAGCTACAACAGTATTGAAGAAGGGTCACTGGACCCAAAACATTAAGTTTGCTTTCTCTCCACAGATGCTGCCAGACCTGCTAAGTTTTTCCAGCAATTTCTGCTTTTGTTTCACATTTCTAGCTAGAAATTTCTAGCACAGTGCTAGAAATGATCTTTTTTTTATTGCTCTGCCTTGGTCTGACTTTCAGCTCAACATCATTTTACGTAGAAATTATCTCCATGTCAACTCTGCAGCTTGTAAATCAAACATCAAATGTAAGTTGGTAGCCAACCTACAAATATCTACTTAAAGGACTGGATTTGAGACACATATGATTTGTTCCGTCGCAGCACATTTCTGAAATCTCTTGTTGAATTACTGTGATAACTTCTTCAGAAGTGTGCAGATGTTTTCTGGGTGGAACCATTTTTGCTTGTGTTTAATTCTTTTCTGAGTATTTTCTCCAGACTTGGGAGGTGTTGCTGCATTTTGTTACTTAGTTGGGAAGACTAGAGACAACAGTCTCAATTTAACTGCATTCACAAGGGGATCAGTGGTTATAGGGAGAAGGCAGAAGAGTAGGATTGAGAAAAATATCAGCCATGATCAAATGATGGAGCAGACACTGTGGGTCAAATGGCCTAATTCTGCTCCTGTATCTTATGGTCTTATAATCTAATGCAGTTCATCTGTGGGAGGCACTCATGGAGGAAAAATTAAACGGAAAGCTGTCATCGCCTTCTCACTCTTCGGTTGCAAATACCATTGAAAACATTCTATGAAGTTAACTTATCTCTGTAGCAAATGATCAGCTTTTTTTAAAAATAATGATTTGAATTCCCTATTATTTATTGAAAGTGATGTGTTAAGATTTCTTGTTTATAAACTTTTTCTGTAACCCAAGTAAAGAAAATCATTCGACTACACAGATTTCTACTTTTGTAGACAAGTTATACTTTTAAAATATGGAAATAAGCTGTTTCTTGTTACTTGCCATGTCTCTCCAGTACTTTACTGCCCTACTTTATGGTTCCTATAGCAAATAGTTCAGTTATTCCCAACTACCAATAAGTTGCTTCCCTGTTTTACTTTCCCGGCCGGGTAACTGCCAGTACCAGAACAGCCTCTCGTGTAAGGATTATCCTGTAGTTATTTTAGCCCGAGTTCCAATTTAGGGAGACCTTTCAGCCTCCTTTTAACTCCTTATGAATTCAGTCCGAATGTGAGCATCCACCTGTGTTCTACATGATGAATGTTTGAGTCAGTATTTACTCTGCTCAAGTTGTAGATCTGGCTGCTTGTGTCCATAATTCTCAGTTGGATACAGACAAGGTAAGCCAAAACTGCAACTGATGTCTATCTCTGCTGTTCCTGTGTTTAAAGGCAGCCTATACTCTGATCCTAATGCCTACCTATGCCATTTTCTTCGTGGCCACACAAAGCATGTTAGTTTTGCAGCGATGTTGATCAGTTTTACTCAATGCTAACTCCCATTCACCCGAGAAGTAAAGGGTCTGCAGCATAGCTACTAATGGTTTATGGTCCAAAACACACTTCTGAACTGAAGACTCAGGATATACTTGCCTTTCTCCCCAAAGAACTTTCACCTTCCTGTCAATAAGAGAAAAAGGCTCGAACCTCCCTCTGATCTGTAATGAAAGGCCAGGTTCAAGTCATGCCTTCTCCAGAGTGTGTCTGGAAAGGTTTTGGAGCCTTGTGGAACAGCGGCAGTGTCCATATCTCTGAGCTAGGAGGCCTAGTTTCAATTCCACCTGTGCCGCAGGTGTGTAGTAACATCTCTGAACAAGTTGATTAAAAATACTTAAACCATCCTTGTCTGCTGACAGGCAAACTCTTGCATAGGTCAGATCATAACAGCTAGGAGCAGGAGTAGGCCATCCGGCCCTTCGAGCCTGCTCCGCCATTCAATAAGATCATGGCTGATCTTTTCGTGGACTCAGATCCACTTACCCACGTTCTCACCGTATCCCTTAATTCCTTTATTGTTCAAAAAAAATCTACCTTATCTTTAAAAACGTTTACTGAGGTAGCATCAACTACTTCACTGGGCAAAGAATTCCATGGATTAACAACTCTCTTGGTGAAGAAGTTCCTTCTCAATTCAGTCCTAAATCTGCTCCCTCTAATCTCGAGGCTGTGCCCTCTTGTCCTAGCTTCACCTGCCAGTGGAAACATCCTCTCTGCTTCTATCTTATCTATTCCCTTCATAATTTTATATGTTTCTATAAGATCCCCCCTCAGTCTTCTGAATTCCAATGAATATAATCCCAATCTACTCAGTCTCTCCTCATAAACCAACCCCCTCAACTCCGGAATCCAGATGACTCCTTTCATCCACCCAAAATTCATACCTTTGAAATATGGTAATCCTTTAAACCAAAATATACTATTGTAAATAATATATCTTAAACCTCATAATTCTAAAAGTGATTTTCTAACTAACGCAGTGCATTTTGTGATCATTACAGTAACCAAAGGTACTTACTATAGGGGCTGTATATTTGTTGAAATCTGTGAGATACTGAAAAATGTGATTTGATCTAATGCTAGTTTGTCTTTACCTTCTTTCATGCAGAAATTAATTGCTTATGGTCATCTCACTGGCAATGCCCCAGACAATACAATACCTGGCAAGAAATTAATTGATAGAATCATAGAGACAATATGTGGCTGTTTTCAAGGCCCTCAAACAGATGAAGGTGTTCAGCTACAGATAATTAAGGTAATGTTTTCATATTTGAACCTCCTCGAACATTTAGGTGTACTTTTATGAATGTTTTCTGCATTAATACAGAGGATTGCTCATGTGCTTTAATTTGTAACTGCTTGGATATAATTTAGTAAACTCATTCAAGAAGTTGAATCGAGTATTAAGGTGGTTTATAAACAAATAAAATTAGTTCACCTAAAAATTGAGAATGTTGTCTCTAATCAGGTGGGACAAACACTTCTTTATTACAAGTTAATTTGAAAATCCCCCCCCCACCCCCCCAAATTGTTAATTAAATGTCAACAGGGTGTTTTCAATGTCTTTCCGACTAGTTGTATCCGAGATAAGTGAAAAATCCAGTTCATAATTATTTTTACAGAGGCATTCAAGAGTTAACTTTTCTGATTTCATGGATAATCTGACACTGATTCTAGTCCCCAGATTTACTCCGCACAATCTGCAAATGAAACACTAAACAGTCTATCCTTAGAGAAAATGTAGCAAATTTGCAAATGGAACATAATCACATGACAGGCTCAAAAAAAATTAAGTTATTGATATTGAAAAATGCAAGCATTTTTTGGTATTATTGATCATTTCTTCAGAAAACCTGCTTCAGATTCATGCAACCTATTTCTACCTGCTCCAGAACCTCCTGATGCTGAGTCTAAAAATATTTAACTGTCATTATGGCCAGGTAATATTTGTTTAAAATTCTAATGTGGAATATTTTAAATATTAGAGTCACAGAATCATACAGCATGGAAACAGACCCTTCAGTCTAACTTGTCCACACCGACCAGAAGCCCCAATTTGATCTAGTCCCATTTTCCAGCATTTGGCCCATATCTTTCTAGACCCTTCCTGCTCATATACCCTTCCTGCTCATATACCCATCCAGATGCCTTTTTAATGTAATTGTATCCACTTCAACCAGTTCCTCCGGCAGCTCGTTCCATACGTGCACCATCCTCTGCGTGGAAACAGTTATCCCTTTTTTAAGTCCCTTTTAAATTTTCTCCTCTCACCTTGAACCTATGTCCTCTAGCTTTGTGCACCCCCCCACCCCAGGAAAAAAGACCTAGGCTATTCACCCTATCCAGGCACCTCATGATGTGTGCAGTTGTGGTCTCCTTTTCTGAGGAAGCATGCTCTTACTGTCAAGGGAGTGCAGCAAAGGTTTACCAGCCTGATTCTGGGAATAGCAGGTCTGACGTTTGAGTAGCGTTTGACTGGGTTAGGATTGGAGCTCAGACAAATGAGGGGGGATCTCATAGAGACTTATAAAATTCTAACAGGACTAGACAGGGTAGATGCAGGGAGGATGTACCCGATGGTGGGTGTGTCAAGAACCAGGGGTCACAGTCTGAAGATTCGGTGTAGACGATTTAGAACAGAGACGAGGAGCCATTTCTTCACCCAAAGAGAGGTGAGCCTGTGGAATTCATTACCACAGGAAGTAGTTGATGCCAAAACATTGAATGTGACTAGATATAGCACTTGGGGCGAATGGGATCAAAGGTTATGGGAAGAAAGCAGGATTAGGCTATTGAGTTGGATGAGCAGCCATGATTGTGATGAATCATGGAAAAGGATTGAAGGGCCGAATGGCCACATCCTGCTCCTATCTTCTATGTTTCTATGTCACCTCTCAGCCTCCGATGCTCCTGAAGAAAAAAAACTCCAGCCTATTCAGCCTCCCTATAGTTCAAACCCTCCGACCCTGGCAACATCCTTGTCAATCTTTTCTGCACCTGCTCAAGTGTCACAACATTCTTCCTATAGAAGAGTGACCAGAATTGTACACAGTATTCTAAAAGTGGCCACACTATCCTGCAAAGTGGCATCCCAACTACTATACTCAATGTTCTGATTAATGAAGGCAAGCATGCCAAACACTGCCTTCACCACCTTGTCTACCTATGACTCCACTTTCAAGGAATTATGCACTTGCACCCAACCTCTCTTTGTTTGGCAACACTCCCCAGTGCTGCTGTACCATTTACTGTATAGGTCCTGCCCTCGTTTGTCTTACTAAAATGCAACACCTCACATTTATCTAAGTTAAACTCCATCTGCCAGTCCTCGACCCATTGGCCTGACTGATCAAGGTCCTGTTGTACACTGAGATAATCATCTTCACTGTCCACTACATCACCATATTCAGTGTCATCTGCAAGCTTACTAACTATAACTCCTATATTCACATCCAAATCATTTACATAAATGATGAAAAGCAGTGGACGCAGTTTGCTGCTGGTCGCAGGCCTCCAGTCAAAAAAGGAGCTCTCTCCCACCATTGTCTGTCTCCTACCTTTCAGCTAGTATTGTATCCACTTGGCTAGCTCCCCTGGATCTCATGTGATCTAACCTTACTAACCAGTCTACCATGCAGAACCTTGTGAAATACTTTGCTGAAGTCCATATAGACAATGTTGACCACTATGCCGTCATCAATCTTCTTTGTCACCTCTTCAAAAAAACTCAATCAAGTGCTTGCCTTTCCAAATGCATTCTTTGCTTCATGTAAATTTTGCTTTGTTTGCAGCTGTTACCAAACTATAAAAGATTCTCCAATCTTCCATGAATCCAAGAAATTTTGAAAATTTAAAACCAAGCTTAATCTATCTCCGTAGCCACTTCTTTTAAAACTCTAGGCTGAAGTCCACCAGGACTCGGACTCATCAGCCTCTAGCTCCAAAAATTGGTCAATACCACTTGCCTGAAATTGTAATTTTCATTAGGTCCTCCCTCCCTTCCTTTTCTTGAATTGCAGTTATTACTGGAATGTTGCTTGTATCCTCTATAGTAAAGACTGATGTAAACATGAATTACAATCACTGGGTCTTTCAGCAAGATCTCCAGTAAGTCAGTTTCAAGATGTCTTGCCTTGCTACCAGGAAACCAACATATAATGGCAGGATCTTGGTCCTCCTAAGAATGTTTTTTCTGCCTCTGAATCCCCAACAAGTAGCAAGTTACACTTCACATCCTCCTCCTCATCCTGTCATTGAACAGTCTCCTGTCACAAGGTGCCGTGGTCGACATTTGACTATTATTTCAGCTCTCACTCTCCATGTTGACACAGAGAACATGTGCCTGCCCTATTGAATAAGATCAGAATCCCCATTCACTGTTTCACTTAGGTGACCCTTACTTTGAACACTCTCACGAACTCTAACCTTGTTTTGAACCTGTTCTTCTGTACAAGGCATAGCAAAGGTTTGCAGCGAGCTGTCCAGGCATATAACGTGTCCTGCTACATCTTTGTCAAGATAATTTGCATTATTTTTATTTGGTTTTCTGTTTGCTAAAAGCTTTCTTTCCCTTTTAACAGAGTAACTTACACTCAGCATGAAACACTGGACAAAAATTTCCAGCATCCAGTGGATTCAAAAATAACTGAGTCACTTTTGCTGTTGCATGTACTTTGTAAAAAGCTGTTTATTGATGGTTCAAAAGGCCACTTTCTTGAACTTTTGAATGTGGCAGCATGATCAACTAGAAAGCACCATTGTGGAACATGCATTTAGTAGCAAATTGTGGAATGGAATCCCTAATTTTTCTTCTTGGAAGCCCTTTGATTAAACAGTATATGTGCACTGATTTTAGCTTTATTTCTTCACATCATGGTGTCCAGACATCAATTCTTCAAAGATAAGAAAAATGTGAAAGAATACATAGTTCTTAAATGCCCATTTTTCCATGAAATTGATTGCAAATTAAACCTGGTGGAAGTGTTGGGCATTTCCAGCTGTTGTGAACAAATGGTGTGAGAGAGAGAGAGGTTAAAATGGGAATGTAATTTTCACTATGTGCTTTAATAAACAGACACAAACTTTACAAAAAGCAGAGGTCTGCAGCTGAAGCCACTAAGCAAGCATTATAGTTAATAGGAATAGGTTTTCTGGTGTCATTCGGGAGATTATTATTGAGATGTGTTGACCCTGATGCATATTGAAGCTGGAATTGGCTAAGCTGATACCACGGCAAATTTAATGGAAAAATCCCTAAGTATAATGTCAATGTCGGCTTTATCCAGAACAACAAAGCCCCCATGTGAGGAGGAAATTTAGAGTGTTAAGAGTAAGGTAAATAAATTGAGCCTTGTAGAAAAAGCAAATTTATTTGAATGTGAAATTTGAATGTTCATGTAGATTAGAGACATCAGATGAACTCAAGTGAAGAAGATAATAAATTTCTTTGTGTTCAAGCTAGTTTTGTGTTGCCAAAACCTGCAAGTTTCATAGATTTCAGAATGAGCCAGCTTAGTTAATCTAATAGGAAAGGAGTCCTTTATTGTACAGTGATTGTAATGCTGTTTTATTCAATGTTAGGTTTGAAAGGAGAAACTTAACAGTCTGATTCTTTATTTTGATTGGCAGATTTAACAGGAAGATGCAGAGATGACAGCAAACTGATCAAAATTGTTATTGAGTGAAATTATTGATGAACAGTGGAAGTGTTCAAAAAACAATTAGTGTAATATGGGACAAGTATGTGCACCAAAGAGCAAAGAATTCTACTTAAATATAGTAGCCATGGTTAACAGAAGAGGTAGGGACATAATAAATCTAGAACAAAGAGCATAAAAACCACTAAAAACAATCTAAGGGCCAACAGAATATATGAAGAACAGAAAAAAAGTATGTCTGAAGAGAGCAAGGGCTCCCAAAAAGGAATGTGAAAAGGGAGTTAGGTTGCACCTCAGCAAGCAGGAAGGAATTCTTTATAAGGAATAATCTCTGGATTGCTCCTGTAACCATATTCAAATAAGAATAAAAATAGAGAGATAAAGTAGATGTATGTAAGTCAGGAGACATAATGCAAGAAGGGGATGTTTTGAACTCTTGGGACATTTTGAGATCATTTTTGTGGGAAATCACACTTGCGTAGGCTGCATAATTTGGACCTAATCAGCCAGGATTTCCTTATGGAGTGACTTATTCGTACTTTTTGGACCCCATTTAGAGTACAGTGTATAATTCTGGTTTCCAGAATTTAGAATATAT